GCTCTGTGCCCACATAACTGTGTCCTTAATTATAGACAAAAGACCTCACTGTCTCCAGGGTTTTCCCAGGGACGATCTGAGCTGCTGGAAGAGTGGGGCAAAGCTGCCTCTGCCAGTTCCTCCTGCTCTTCCTGACCTGAACTTTGCTTCATGATTAATTCTTAAATCTACATCTATATGCTGTATCTACAAGTCTATCTCCAGCTCAGATGTACCCCTTACCACAAGCCCTGACATGGCTAAGACTGAGCTCCTGATCACGCCCCCCAGGTTACTATTCCTCTGCTCTTTCCCATTTTCATCCTTCCCTGCTGTTGAGGACAAAAACATTAATGTCCTCCCTAACCTTCCTTTTCTCTCTCTCTACATCTTTTGGGTCTACCTCGAAATCATTTGCAGCATCCGGCCATCTCTTCACTGCCAGTGCTGTCACTCAGGCCCAGGCCCCCACCACTTCTTTCCTGGATTGTTGGGGTTGCCCCTTAACTGCCTTTTTGCATTTACTCTCCACCCTACCTCTGGACTCTTCTCACCATTCTGGACCTTCCCTGCTTAACTGTAAGGACTAAACTAAGAACTGCAATTTCCACATTTCATTGCAGCCAAAGGGGTCCTGTTCAAAGATAAATCCAATCTTGTTGATTCTCTGCTCAAACCTCTCCCATCTCAGAGAAAAAGCCCACTCAGTCTTCACAGCATGATATGTTGAGAAGTCTATCTTTACCCCAGTGGTCTGATACTGAATTTCCTTACTGCTTTCATAGCAGAAATAGATTCTTTCTTTTTTTTTTTTTTTTCCTGAGAGAGAGCCTCAAGCTATCACCCTGGGTAGAGTGTTGTGGTGTCACAGCTCACAGCAACCTCAAACTCTTGGGCTTAAGCAATTCTCTTGCCTTAGCCTCCTGAGCAGCTGGGACTACAGGCACCTGCCACCATACCTGGCTATTTTTTGGTTGTAGTTGTCATTGTTTGGCAGGCCCGGGCCGGATTTGAACACGTGAGCTCTGGTGCATGTGGCTGGCGTCTTAGCCACTTGAGCTACAGGCGCCACCCTAGTTTCTTACTTTAAATAAAAATTCCAGACCAGATTCAGTGGCTCATCCCTGTAATCCTAGCACTCTGGGAAGCTGAGGCTGGTTCATTGCCTGAGCTCAAGAGTTCAAGATCCCATCTCTACTAAAAATAGAAGAACTACATGGGCTGGAGTCCCAGCTACTCAAGAGACTGAGGCAAGAAGATCAGTTGAGCCCAAGAGTTTGAGGTTGCTCTGTGAGCTATGACACCACGGCTCTCTACCCAGAGCGACAGAGTCAGACTCCATCTTAAATAAAAAATAAAAATACAAATAGATCCACCTTCTCCCCTAAGAGAATTCCAAGTGTCCTACAGAGCTTCTCATTAGTCTCTCAGCACCACTGGACCTGAAAGTTTCTGCAATGCTGTGTCTGAAGCAGTGAAACTGACTTGCAGAAGCATCAACTGAACAGAAGTCACTTCTGCTCTGAGTCTGTCCATGCCACCATCCTTCAAGAAGCCCCCAAAGGAGCAAGTAGACAGGAAGGGGTGGAAGGAGTTGGGTAAGTTCACACTTGATTGGTACGATGCTCACATTCTGGGGCAAGGACACTCTGAACTATTCTGACTACAGTGGGCAAAAGTAGATTATGTAACCAAATAGGTAATTACGAAGCCCTGTAATATTCCGGGGGAAAAAAGGCCTGTTGTCTTTATGTTTGAAACAATCGTCTTTGAGTGAAAGTCGAATATTTTAGACTGACCTTGGCAAACGTAAACTACAGTGCAGAGGCTGGTCGTGTGCTTCTCGAAGTAGATACTTAGGTGTTCAGGAGAAAAATCTATGCCTGTGGAATAAAATGCAGGATAGATGCTGAACTACAAGGATTAAACTAAGAATTGCCATTTCCGCATTTCATATCTAATAAAGGTAAACTTCAAATTTTAATGAACGCACACTGAAACAGTTTTTTAAAAAGACAGTTAAGTGCCCTAAACCCAATAAAAAGTATCTAAAAATTGAGATTCTGTTGCTAACTCTGGATGCCACCCCTCTGAATGGGCAGCAGTAAATCTCCCATCCTTAATAATAGGCAATAAAATG